CTGGCTTCCAGGCCTGGCTCAGGGAGGGGTGGGAGCCGAGAATCTGGATTCCTCGGTTCTGCTCTGACAGCATCCGATCCTGTTTCATTCGTTAACTGGTTAAACAGTCACATCCCTACCTGGGAGGAAACTGGTTTTGTGGGTACAGAACCGGAGTGGGACTCCTGGGTCCTCCATGCCTCCTCTCCCCCACTTCCACCTGGGAGGGTAGGTGGGTTAGACCCGCCGTTCCAGACGGACTCCATCACCCGTCCAGCCAGCTGATCCTCAGACCTACCCGCCAGGCAGGGAGCTGGTCCATGAGGGGAGCCAGTTGGAAAAACCAGCTCCCCTCACGGACCTGCTGCCTGCCACCCCTGATATAGAGGCAGCATCATGGGGTGGCAGCAGCCCCTGCCTGGGGCTGGGGATAGTCTGAGCTCCCAGACCCTGTGCAAGCAGGAACTGAGCCAGGCTGCCTGGCCACTTAGCTCCTAATGTGCTTGAAATGCAGAGCCCAAGCAGACGGAGGTCCAGGACCCAGCACAAACTGGGACTGAGCTGGCTGGCCAGCCTGCTAAAAAAAAATGTATTGGTGGATGCATGTAGCCTATAGCATTAACCGGTAAGCTTTGGCTTATCGGTTAATCGATTCCTCTATTCCATCCCTAAGCCGTAACGGGCAGTAAATTCTCTGACCATTTGGGTTGTAAGCACCCGATAGGGCTGCTGAGCCCTTGAAAATTGAGCTCTAAACGCCTTTGAAAACTCGGCCATTCAAGCCCTCTGCCTCAGTTTCCCCACCTGTCCTTTCTCGGCGGGGTCCCTTTGTCGTGTGTGAGCGTTTGAGGCCGGGCCTGCTCTGCTTGGTGTGCATGAGGACCGTAACGCTGCTGCTATTTTAAATCCATCCGAGGCGTCTCCCAGGACAATGGGGTAAAAAGCGAATTTCTCCTCTGCCCAGCCAAAACCAGCCAGTGTCCCTGTCGCGGGCACAGAGGCCGGCTGTGGTTAGCCTCGCTCGGGTGACCGCTCGATCGATAAATGACCCTGCCATCTCCCCTGTGGAGGTGCCGGGGCAATTGAAAGCAAGTGCGACAGGCTGTTTACCGTGAAGGCCACGTAGACTCAATGGGGTAAAAAGCGAATTTCTCCTCTGCCCAGCCAAAACCAGCCAGTGTCCCTGTCGCGGGCACAGAGGCCGGCTGTGGTTAGCCTCGCTCGGGTGACCGCTCGATCGATAAATGACCCTGCCATCTCCCCTGTGGAGGTGCCGGGGCAATTGAAAGCAAGTGCGACAGGCTGTTTACCGTGAAGGCCACGTAGACTCCGGCACTGGGTCAGGTGCTGCTAACTTGGGGGGCAGGGGACGGCGGGTGTCTTGTTCAGCCCCCTCCCAGGGAAGGGGGGCTGCGTGAGTCGCCCTGCCTCCGGCGCAAAAGCCAGTCAGCCGCTCATGGTCAGGAAGGAATCGTCCCCTTGCGCGTGTCGGCTGCGGACGCTTGGGTGGTTTCTCTGCAGCCGGGCTGGATCCAACCTGTGCTGCCTTTTTTCCCCCCTGCAGTTCTGGGAAGTCATCAGTGACGAGCACGGCATAGACCCCACTGGTACCTACCATGGCGACAGCCACCTCCAGTTGGAGAGAATCAATGTCTACTACAATGAGGCTTCAGGTACAGTCCCTGGGGGGGGGGCTGTCTCTCCCCCCAGCCGGTCTGTGGGTAGTGGATCTGGAGGGCTCTTCTCCCCCCCCTCCCCCATTCTCAGGGGGTGCTTAGCGCTTCCTGGCTCGTTCCTTGGTTAATGCCACATGGGGAGGGAGGTAGCCTGCTTGGCAGTGCGCCCTAGCGGGTAGAGCATAGGACCAGGGTGTAGGGACTCCGGGGCCCTATTCCCCAGCTCTGGGAGGAGGGTGGGGTCCAGTGGTCCTCTGGGCTGGGCAGGCAGGACTCCTGGGTTCTCTCCCCTGCCCTCACTTGGTGATCGCTGGCTGCACCAACTTGGGGCGGGGGGCTCAATATTGGTCTGGCTCTGTGTAGCAATGCTTTGTGGGGGGAGGGTCCTCTCCTCTTCCTCCCCCCCACCTCCTGAGGCTGGCCCCTCCGCCAGCCAGAAGCTCCCAGGGCAGATGGCAAAGCTGCCTGGGGTGGCCCAGCCCGGCCTCCTGAAAGCGCCTGATCTGTCTCCCCTCCAGGTGGGAAGTACGTGCCCAGGGCCATCCTGGTGGACCTGGAACCCGGCACCATGGACTCGGTCCGATCTGGGCCTTTCGGGCAGATCTTCAGGCCTGACAACTTCGTTTTTGGTAAGATGGGCGGCACCACGGTGCTGGCGCACTGGGGGGAGCCGGGGGGGTGGAGCCCCAGCCAGGCGCCTGATCTGTCTCCCCTCCAGGTGGGAAGTACGTGCCCAGGGCCATCCTGGTGGACCTGGAACCCGGCACCATGGACTCGGTCCGATCTGGGCCTTTCGGGCAGATCTTCAGGCCTGACAACTTCGTTTTTGGTAAGATGGGCGGCACCACGGTGCTGGCGCACTGGGGGGAGCCGGGGGGGTGGAGCCCCAGCCAGG